GACTAGAACTTCTGATGTGAGGCCTTGCCAGCCACTTTCCAGGCTGCTTATCCACTTTTGGTGTTCATTTACACCCAACTTTCACCTGTGGCTCCAAGAAGCTGTAGCATGTGCAGGGACCACAATCTGGTGAAACTGTCTAGGCAGATAAGCTAAAACAGGCTGAAGGTAACTGACAGGCCTCAAAGTCCTCAGTGAGTTAGGGGGATGTCTACCCCAAGCATGTGAAGATATCCCCCAGTGGAATGGGTGGATGAGAACAATTTGTTCCAACAGCCATGAAGGCAGCTGAAGCAGGTGCTGTGGAGTGCTTAGAGCTTGGTCAGACATCAAACATGTCAAGGTCATCCACTGCATCCCAGGCCATCGCCAGTCCTCCTCTCCTGACTTTTGTTTTACCACCGGACTTAGATAACTCTGGGAGAGTAAGGCTGACCACTTTGTGCAACTCTACTTCACTTAAATCCATCCCATGACATCATTGGTCCTCTTTGAAAATGAAGTATGAACAATACCACAAATAATACACAAAAAGAAATTGAGAAAGATCAATCACTCAGGAGAGTAGAAGGAAAAGGAAGAGAAAGTATCCAGGAGAAGATTGTGGTAGATCCGTAACACTAGCCTAACAATGTTTCTAATTGATTATTAGCCCAGACCTTTAATTAAAAACCAGCTTTTTAGCAAAGAATTTACCAAAATGGCATATCAAGGAAAGGTTTATAAAATACCTACATTTAGAATAAATACAAAATAAATAACAAGGTAGGTTACGGAGGAGGGGCAGTAGCAGTTGTAAGGATCAGGAAAGACTTTGTCTAGATTAGAAGACTTTGCTCGAGGTACATCTCATAGGAAGTAAGAGATGCTAATAGGTAGAGCTGAGGAACAAGTGCACTCCGGTTGTAACACTAGGTGTTGCTGGGCAGGGTAGGGTTAGCAGGCTGGTATTAGACCCTTTGTGCTCCCTCTTACCACCCAGAAAGAGGCAGAACTGAATCCTTTCCAGGGCTCTCTGGAGAGGTGGTTTCAAGTGTGACCTTTTCACTGCCCTCTCCCTGTACAGTGCCTCTCTGGAGATTTAATCAGCCAGTCTGTAAAGCAATTAGCTTGCTTTTAGGCAAGGGGCAATATAATGGCCTTGTGGCCCATGTGCTCGATGTCTCTCTTCCCCCTTCCCCCTTATTATATAAGGGAAACAGTTACTAGCTTTAATTACAATAGCTTAGAGCCTCCAGTTAAGACAACTCACATTCTGATAAGTTTAGTTATCCTATTTACATTTTGTGTATTTCCAGATACTCTTGGCTTCTTTAAAGGACTAAATGAATGAAAAAACACTATTGTCCTTACTTAGTCCCTCTCTGGAAGTATAACATAGTGGATAGAGAGCTAGCATCCAATACAGAAAGACCTAGGTTCAAGTTCAGTCTCTGATACCTACTGGCTGTGTGACCTTGAACAAATGAGATGACTTTTAGCTACCCAGTTGCTCTAGGCAACTCTCTAAGCAGTTACTATAAATTGCAGAACTGAATTGGTAGAAAGGAATTGCCTCATCCTGGAATTCCCCATACAAATGAAATCACAACTGCAGTTGCTATCCCTATTCCTATAAGCTCTGGGGGTATGAATCCAAGCAAGATAGTCCAGACCCTCAAGGAACTAACAATCCAAATGGGAATTTATAAAAGGGAGTCAAAATTGGAAATCAGGGGAGAGGAGAAAGAGCAGATATGAGTACACTCCCAGCAACACGGTTTGGGAATTGCCAGGAAGTCGTGTGGTAGCCTGGGCAAGTAAGCCAATAAAAAGCTCATCAACTAGAGCTCATGGTACCAGGGGCAGAGTCTGAATTCCCAAGACAGCCAGAGTATAGGCAGCATGCTGGCTGGGCAAGATTAAGGTGAAAACTCAAGAGTCCAGGGTTCCAGGAGAAAAATCAAGACAGAAGAAATGCTTACATAAAAAAAATAGATCTGAGTACATTCTAGTGCCTGTTACTGGATAGGCAGAGTGTGGAGAATATTTGGGAAATAAAAAGACTTTTTTTTGAACCTCAGTTCTTGGAGAGGGGACTACAAAGGGTAGATTTGGTCTCAGTTCTTTTTATAGTGCCTGTACGAATACTCAGGACTAATTCAATCTCTCCCTTCAGTTTCTCCTTTTACCTACTGCTGTTGAGTTTCCAGACCCAGAGAGGGCTGAGGATGCCATCTCCTCCACTGCTCCTGCTGCTCAGTTTTTTTAGTCCTCATTCCTTCCTCTCAATCTGCTCTCTCAGAGACTATGTGTTTAAAAACTTCTAGTTATGACTCAAATCCACCTTCAGCTCAGAGATTTCAAGAGTCCAAATTGTTTTCTGAGCTGAGAGGGAATGCTTGTCCCTCTGGACTACAAATCTCAGACACCTGTCAGTTCTCAAACTCCTATTTCACGGGTGTCAGAGACAGCTGTGGAAAAGCATAGGAGATGGTTATGTATGAGGAAAACAGAAAACCACAGAGTTCATGAAACAGACATATATAATAAGGCTGGAAAGAAAGGTTGGGGCCAAATTTGTGATGGGCTTTAAAAGCCTCATGGAAGTGTTTAGAGGCAATAGGAGCCACCAAAGTTGACTAAGTAGGTGAGTGATAAGGTAAGATCTTTATTTAAGGGAAACCACTTTGGTATCTCTGTGAAGGATAGATTGGAGTGGATAAAAACTTCAGCAGAGAGAAAAATTATGAGGCCACAGCAATAGCCCAAGCAAGAGGTGGATGACTTGAATTATGGTGTATTAGTAGGAGATAGGTATAGGATTCAAGAGATGTTGTGGAGATAGAAATGGCAAATTTGAGGAATTTATTAGATGTATGGCACGACAGAGAGTAATGTCAAGAATAACACCATCACTAACCTAGGAGACCAGATACGTGGTGGTACTCTCAACAGAAATAAGGAAGTTTAGTACAGTGATTGTTTTGGAAGGATTAATCACAAGTTCTGTTTTGGATTTGTTGAATTTGAGATCTTTCTGGGATATCCAAGGTAAAATGTATAGTAGGAAAGTTGGTGATGGGGACTGGAACTCAGGAGAGAAACTTCTGTTTGGCTAGATATATAGATGATAATGAAACCCATATAAGCTGATGAGATTACCATGACAGTACAGAAGGTCCAGGACAGAGCCTTGAAATACACCCAGAGTTGGAGGCATCATATGGATGATTGAGCCTGCAAAGGAACCTGAAGAGAAATTGGACAGGTAGGAAGAACTAGGGAAGTGCAATGTCACAAAAATGGAGATAAGAGAAAGTATTCAGGAGGAGAAAGTGGTTAACAGTTTCAGATGCAACAGAAAAATCAAGAAGGATGAGGATGGAAAAAGACCCGCCAGATACGGCAGCTGAGATGGTAAGCAACTTTGGAGAGAACCTGAAGAGGATGTGGAGGATAATGCTAGAAAATAGATTTCACCAAGTTATAGATGGTTTAAGAGTTTGTATTTAATTGTATAGATGGTAGGTGGGCACCAGGAGGAAGGGGAGCAGGTTGTTTTGGAAAAATAACTCATTGTTTTGGACATACTGAACTTGAAGGAGTATGCGTGTAAGATAAGAGCCAGGAATTCATGTGAAATGTTCCATAAGTGGTTGAAAAGACAAGGTGAAATTCAGGGAAGAGTGTGGTCTAGAGAGATATATTTAGGAATCATCTGTATAGAGCTAATAAAGCCATGAGATGATATGGATCTTGCTGAGAGTATAGAGCAAGAGTTTTTTTTTTCAAACTTTTTTCCCCCCTTAATCATTGTGAAAGAATCAGAAAGGGATAAATCACGAGAAAGAAAAAAAAGCAAAAAGAAAAGTGAAAATAGTGTGCTTTGGTCTACATTCAGAATCCATAGTTTTCTCTGGACGTGATTAGCATTTTCTATCACCGTTTTTTTGGAACATCTTGGATCATTGTATTGCTGAGAAGAGCTACGTCTATCAGAGTTAATCATGGTGCAATGTTGTTGTTGCTGTGTACAATGTTCTCCTGGTTCTGCTCACTTCACATCCATTCACGTAAGTCTTTCCAGGTTTTTCTTCAATCTGCCTGCTCATCACGAACAATAGAATTCCATTACATTCATATACCACAATTTGCTCAGCCATTCCCCAATTGATGGGCATCCCTTTGATTTCCAATTCTTGGCCACCACAAAAAGAGCTGCTATAAATGTTTTTGTACATGTGGGTCCCTTTCCCTTTTTTATGATCTCTGTGGGATACAGATCTAGTAATAGTATTGCATATCAAAAGGTGTGCACAGTTTGGTTGCCCTTTGGGCATAGTTCCAAATTGCTCTCCAGAATGGCTGGATCAGTTCACAACTCCACCAACAATGCATTTCCCCAAATCTTCTCCAACATTTATCATTTTCCTTTTCTGTGATATTAGCCAATCTGACAGGTGTGAGGTAGTACCTCAGAGTTGTTTTAATTTACATTTTAAAGCAAGAATTTTAAACTTTTTCTGTGTTATGGACTTCTTTGATAATCTGTTGAAACCTATAAACTCTTTCTCAGAATAATGTTTTTAAATAATTAAGGAAATGTTAAATTTCAATTAGAGGTCATGAAAATAAAAAAGTAATCTTTCCCCATCCAAGTTCAAGGACTCCCTAAAATTTATCAACATACTCTTCTGGGATCCATAAGTCCCAGGGACCCCTGGAGAAAGAAGAGGAAGAAGAATAGAACCTACTGATATCCACATTTTAGGGAAAATAAAATTCAAGAAATTCATGGTAATCCATGAATGAGACTATTTTATCTTCCTGAGGTGATTAAAAAAAAAGAAAGCTTATTAACAGGCAAATTGTTGGTCAAATTTTAGAAAGCATACAAAAACGAAGTGCAAAAATCTGGCAACTCATAGAAACCTTGGAGCAAAGTTAGTTAAACTAGGATATATTCCACTCTTTCCAGTAACTCATGGCATAGCTATGAAAATTAAAGAAACAAAATATGAAATTAAAAAAATTTTATTCAGTAATTTCCATTATATAAATAATAAGTACCAATGAAATTATCTTCAAAATCATGATATGACAACATGACAATAAATTGCTTATGTCAATCTCAAGTTATAGCTTTGTGTATAGGTTTTTAATATAAATTTTGAAAATCTACCAGTCTTCAACATTTCTGGCATCAGATGACTTTGTGTCACATGCATTTGAAAATAACATTTTAATTTTTTTTCTAAACTTCTAGTCTGATTTTTATTAGATCTTCAATTTTTTTCAGGCTATAACTTCACTTAAAGTTTAAACTGACATTCTAAACACAAAGTTTACCTTTGGTTCTATCAATCATAATTTGTGCCTCAGTCCACATTCATGAAGGTTTGGTATAGGATTATTTTTGTTTCTTGTATTCATTTAAAATAGCCAAGTATTAATTTTTTTGACTTGCCAAACATTTTTACACATTATACTCCAGATAAGAATGTGAACAAGTACCACGTGTATATAAATTAAATTTATAAAATTATGTCCTTTTTATTACTTTCATGTTTCCCAAACCTAAAAAACAAATGACAAAGTTATAAAGTCTAAAAATACAAATGTATTGTCAAGTTAGTATATGTATTGATCCATGTTAATTATATCCACAGGTAAATTCAAACACTTTCCTTTAGCCACCATAGCTGCTCAATACTGGGCAAAAAGTATCATATCATCAGCAACTACAAATTTTTTTGGTAAATTTAAAATGTAACTCATAGCTCCATAGCATGGCTTAGGGGGTAGAGTCCTGGACTTAGAATCAGAAAAACCTCCCAAGTTTAATCTCTCTTGTCCCTAAGTTCTTCATTGGTAAAGGTTAGATTAGATGTTCTCTGAGACCTTTCCAACTCTAAATATAGGACTATATGATACTAGGGAGTGGCCTAAGGTGAACAGAGATATAGTAACTTGATCAGCACAAGATTTAAGCCCACCCACATCTTTCTGCTTCCATTATCTATCGGATGGGTATGGCCTCAGACCGAGGCCTGGAAAAAAAACCTTAATTTAGAAAGGCCAAGGTCATCCACTGCATTCTGGGCTACTGTCAGTTGTCTTGACTTTGGATGACTGGAGGAGAGAGTGATACTGATGACTTTGTGAAACTCTGCCTCAGTTCAATCCAATCCAGGTACAAGTTAATCACCTGGTGATGCCACTGGTCCTCTTTGAGAATGAAGGACAAACAACATCTATTACTCTAATAGATTCTGAGGAGCCAAACTCCTGAGCTCATGAACCTAGCTCAGCTGAACTAGGTTTAAATGTAATTAAGAAATGTTCAACAAAACAAATGAAATAAAAGAACTCAAGGTTTTCTAAGTCAGTATGTGGCCTGCAGAGATTTGTTTCTATTTGAATTTTACACCACCGTATCAGATAACCAATTTCAGTATAACAATATATGCCTTAAGGAGTTAATATTAAGGTTTTTTTTCATTTGTTCAGAGCCCCCATGGAATATATTGTGAAAAAACTCTGACCCTGAAACTGGAAGATGTGGATTTGAGTCCAGGGCAAAATTCAACACTTATTAACTGTATGAATCAGTTTCCTTACCTGTGAAAGGGGAGTAGTATGTATAGCATCTATTTCACAGGGTTGCTGTAAGGAAGATACTCTGTTTCAATTATTAGAATAGCCATGAACTAGTGGATAGAGAGCTGGCCTCTCAGCCATCTGTCACTGTTACATACATGCTCTGTGACTGTGAGCACTAACCCTCAGAGCAGGTGACTCCTCACATTGGTAAAGGGAGTTCTTTAGGAGTTACTTATATCAATGACATCACAGGTCCAGTCCCTATTCATATTTATTATAAGTCATTCTGAATAGCTGAGTTTTATGGAAGGCTAAATGTTTATCTACATAAGCAACACAACTTTTAAAAAATGTTAGCCATTTTTGAATTGAAATCTTTCTAAATGCTTCCTGCTTTAAGGTTTTAAGGTATTCTATGCTTCCTTGACTTTTTAAACGGAGTATACAGAACATAATTTAATCTTTCCATGAAGATGACTCAGCATCATCATTATGAACATCATTTACTGTGATGTAAGAGTGATGCCATCAGGGCCTAATGAAGTGTGTAGGTCTGTTTGCCCCTATACTAAATGGCCCCAGGCAGATGTGCTTTTTTTTTTTTTTACGTTCTTGTGTCTAAATTTTAGTTTTTCTCATTTCTTGATATCTGGCTGTCAGAAGTTTTCCTATGCTGTTAGTGTGTCTTTGGTAGCCTCTCTCCTGTCTAATTTGCTGCTTCTGGTCTGACAGTAAAATTGGAAACTAGTTTATCAAACTCATTATTAGACTTCAAAATAAGAGTTAGTAAGCTCTGAGTGAAGTCCCCATGGCCTCTCCTATAAGTAAGGTTAGTAAAAGAACTTCAAGCTTGGATTTTATGACCTCTATTTTGGCTACTTTGCTGCTTATCTGCTGGCTTTTGTCTGTGTTCCAGATAGATGAGGTTGCCGGATAAGGGAGTTCCAGAGAAGTAAGGTTATTACTATAATAAGATGCATCATCTCTATGTTGTATAAGTACGAGGACTTGTGAAAGTTTTGTGATCCAATTTTTTTTAATGTTAAGTTTACTATGTTTTTTAATCTGTTAGGTGTCATAATAGTTTAAAAGAGTTAATGCATGTGAAAAGTGTGAATTCATATCTATGATAGAGTTTACTCATCATATGACATAGAATCTTATTCAGTATGTTGACTTTTATACACCCCTCATTCTGATTTTGCCAAACTACTAAATTATAACTAACAAGCCACTTTGCCTCACAAGTCCTATTTTTATATTAACACAATGAAATGGTAAGATATACTTATATCAGAGGTAAGTTATGAGAAATATAAAGTCTTTGGGGGATAAAATGCCCACATTTCTAATATTATTAATACTGTTACTTTAAAGCCAGGGTACCAAAGGTAGGAACAATGACCTAGTGATCTCACAATTAAAACTAAGTGTGGTTCATTCAGAAAACTTAACTTGCTAATACGTAGCAAGGCACTACAGTATGAAAAAGTATTTTTTAAAAAATAAATTCTCTGGAATACATACAGCCTATATTAGGAATTAAGAACCTTTGTTCTAGCTGTCACAGGCTACTGCCAGGGAAAAAAGGTATCAATTAAGACCAATGTTTGATGGATGCCCATTTGTCTTTCATTTATTTAGACTGTAACCTGGTTAAAATTTAAGGTGTCCCACTCACCTTCTTAACAGGAAACAGAAAATTCACCTGAACAAATAATCCTCAAAATCAAAAATGTCAGTTAAGAGAGACAAAGAGGGGTTAATGCAGAATAGAGAGCGTAAGAGACAAAGGGGTAGAGAGGCTAAGGAGAAGGAAGAGGCCCTCTGTAGCTTCTAAGATGAGTAGATGTGCTAAAAGCTATTGGGTCACCCTGTTTACCTAGGCTGTAGACATCGGACAAGTCTGTCTTTTGAAATTGTTTAAAAATAATTTTTGCATTGAGGAACTTGTCTAACTTTCTTTTAAAGTCTTTAAGTACATCCTTCTAATATTTCCTTACAGGTAAGGGTCTGTTTTTCTTATCTCCAGACCCAGAACTGTATCCCATACATATTACGGTAGGCAACTAATATATTTTTGTTGAACGGAACTGCTAAGGCTTCCTTACTGTAAAGTTCTTAAATTCAAAATCCCTTCCAAGTACAAAACCTTAAAAATTAGGGATGGAGAGAAGACTTTATTCCAAAAAAATACTTACAGAAACATGGTATCAGTCAACTTGCCATCAGCCTCAAAGTTCCTTTGACATTCAAAAGCTGTAAGACTGCCTTCTCCCAGGTCTAGGAGATTGGGGTTCCCTAACTATGTCTTTAAGTTACAACTTAGAGCAAAACGACCTCCCCCTGCTTTAGAGGGGTAGGAAACACTGAGCCAAGACAACCAGGAAATGATTCCTTAACTTATATCACACTTTACGATCAGCATTAGTATTTTGATCAACACGATTACCAAAATGCCTCCTAGGTCACTTTGCTGGGTTTCACTCTCTCCAGCCCTCTGCATTTAAATGGAAAAACGAGGAACAGCCCGTTTCAGGGCGTCGAACCCTGCGTTTAACCTTGGCCGGGGCCCTGGTCGACATCCAGGCGGCCTGCCCCGAGATGACCCGGGGCAACCGACCCAAGAGCTCTTCCACGGGCATCCTGAAGGGATCTTTTAATTAGGCGCATCTCACTCCCGAGTCCTCAAATTAACCGGAGGCCCCGCGGCACCGGCATCCCGAACTGTCAAAGGCAGCACCCACCGGCCTGGGTACCTGCGAGGAAGGTGCCGTCTAATTGCGCAACGTCCTATCACGCTCCGGCCCCTCCCTCCGCTCCTCTCTGATTGGACGCATGGGAGGAGGGCTCACCATCACCCAGAGATGTGCACGCGCCCCGGGGAATTCCATTTCCTCTCTAGGCCGTCTGCGTAATCCTTCCGGCTAGCTCCCGGCAAGGGGTTCATCCTAGTTACTCCATTAAACTCTCGCGACAGTTGGGGTACGGGGCAGTGGGAGGGAGCGGGGTGGAGAAAGAACCAAGGGTATCCATCACGACAACGACCCCTAACCTCTCCCCGCCCCGTAAATGCCAAGCCTCCAGGATGACCAGCCAGCAACATGATTCTCGCGAGATTCCATTTCCCCCTACCAAATGAGAAAGGGCGTGAGGACCCCGGCGCTGCAGCCTTCACCACCTCCCCCCCCATGGTCTCCTTCCGGTTCTCGATGCTTCTCTCTGCCTGAGTTTCCCCGCCTCCAGCTTACTCTCCTCCCACTTCAGCTCATGACCCGCCTCCGGCCCCCGCCCTCTCTGCCCAACCTCCGATCCGTTTAGTAAGGATTCCACCTTTTGAGCTAGAAGAAGGAAGAGCATCCCTAACCGTGGTCCCCAGCTTAGGAAGAGTAGGAAGTGAACCGTTCCCCTCCGCCCTTTTCGTCCTCGTCCAGTCCTCGCGACGGCGGCGTTGGCGGACTGATACGCGGCGGCGGTGAAGGGGCCCTGCGGGGGGAGGGGCGGAGCGTGGCAGCTGGCAGTAGTTCCGTCAGAGCGGACATCTTGTGGCTGTGAATTGCGCGTGAGCCCCGTAGGGCCGGGGAGGCACCAGCTGCCGCGCGGGGAGGAGGCCGAGGCCGCAGCTTGAGGGAGGCCCCGGCTCCTCTGTACGCGTGGGTGTGGATGACTAGGGGAAGGGGAGGCCGGCCGATTTAGGCTGGCCGGGTAAGCGGGGAGCGGGGAGGTCGGGTGGCTTTGAGCGGCCAGCCAGTTGGGTGGGGTGGGCAGAGGAGGGGAGGACGGGGTTGCGGGGCCCGTTCGCGCGGGAGGCTGGGGGGCGGGGCCGGGGGGCGCTGCGCGCGCCGGGCCCGGGGCGGCGCGGGCGCGTAGTGGTGATGGTGGAGGTGGCGGCGGAGGCAGCAGCGGGCGGGAGCGCGCGTGCACGCGCCTGGAAGGCGGAGAGTGCGGCGGTGTCCAGGGCGGCAGAGATAGCCACGGCCCTAGCCCCTTCAGAGCGCACTCGAACCCCTTGGCTTCTCGCTCTCTGCGGCCGCTTCTCCTGGGAGCAGAGACGAGCGGGTCCAGGACCCCCGCGGCCGTCTGGCTGTCCCCTCCCCCCCACCTCGTTCGGCTCCGGTGACGCCGGCGCGGCGCGGCCTAGGCCTCGGGTCCTCCCCGGAGCCGACTCGACCCCGTACCCAGCCCCCTCTCCGGTCCTGGGAGGTCGGACTCGTGGCCTTCTCTGGCGACGCTGCCTCGGGGCTGGAGGACGGCTTCGCGGCCTTCTCCGGACCCCGGATCGCGACGGTTTGGGGGGGAAGGCATCCCTGGGCCCGGGCGAGTGCTGATCTGGTCCGTTTTTGCACAAGGCGCTTGTGTCGGGCGGAGCCGGTGTGAGAAGAGAGATCCCCTCCCCCCAACCCCTCCCCGCCGCCTGGGATAATCAGAGTTTTTGGCCGGATCTTTCTGCCCACCGAGAGAGTGCGGAGTCAGGCGGAAAGAAGCACACACCATGGCGCTGAAACGGATTAATAAGGTAAATAACAGCCGCGGCTGGAGGGCGGGGGCTGTGCTGGCGGCGGGCCCGTAGAACCCCTCGGGCTGGGCGGCCCTCCCCGCCTGGGGATCCTTTCTCGGAAGTGAGGCGGGAGCGACTGATTTTTCCAGGGGACCCCCTCCCCGCACTTTGAGCAGCCCATGAAGCGCCACACGGAACTGCGTCGTAGCGTGAAAGCCGGGGCCGGGCCCTCCGGGGGCAGAGAGATGCGCTTGTGTGACCTTGGGGGGCGCCCGACTGCTTCACACCCCAACTGTGCCCCTGTGACCGAGGGCTGCCCCCCCATGGGCGTGAGGTTGTTTGGGGGGGGGGAGCGTCCACTGAGTCACCGCGATCTTCGGGGCCCGGGGAAGGGTGGCTGTGTGCGCCCCGCCGGGGGGACTCCCCGACCCTGGCCGGGGACCCTGGGAGACGCTGACACAATGTGGTCGGTTTCCCCAGCGGTGCGGTCCGAGTCTGGCTGTGGGGGGGGGTGTAATCCCAGCCTTCCCCATCCCCATTTTTCCAGGGAGAGTGTGGTTTTTCCAGTTGATGAGGGAATGATGGTAAATTACTGATAGAGGTTGCCAAGAATCTCAGGTTTTCCGAAGCGGAAGGGATGGAGGAAGCCTCAGCTGGGGTGGTTGAGGATTTTTCTTAGTCTAACTTCTGTCCCGCATTTTAAGATGGCGGCGGCTTTGCCTAGTTCTCTCTTATCTGTGTCTTTGGGCTCTAATGTGACAGACCTGCACGCGATGATGGTTTGTTTAACGTTGCCTTGGTCAGAGGGGGCTGTAGGGTTAGGACACAGTCTCAGAAATTTAATACGGCCAAGGGAAATGATCGGTCATATTTTTCCAAGTCTATGCCTCTTTGCTCTATTATTCAGGGTTTGGCTCTTGCACCATCCGGGCGGGTGGAGTATTTACAACAAACTTGAAAGGAAAAAAAAGTCTGGCCATGAACTCGGCCTTCCCAGAAATTAGGAATGGGAAGAAGTTATAGTAAATTCTGATCTAATAATTATAAAAGAAGTTTTGTTTGGGAAGCTATCTGAAACCAAAAACTTTAAAACAGTTTTGAACTAAATCTGTATTACATGTCCATTTATCAGTAAAAATGTTCGTATTTTTAAAATCTTAGTTGGATGTGCTGTCGGTATTTTAACATTGCTTTGCTTGGCAAGGCCCAAATTATTAAAAAGGAGGGGATGTGGATTAGTAAATTTACATTCCTGTAGTGCAAGGAGAATACTTTACTCTCACACTAAAATCTTGATTTTTTTAGGTCTTTGACCCCGATACTTACTGGCTGTCTGAACTCAAGACAAATTACAAATTTCCTCATTTGTAAATTGAGAGTGAGTTGACCCAGATGATTTCTAAGTTAACTTTCCAGCTCTAGCAATTAGAAGATTTTTCCTCAACTAATTACTGGTCTAAATATTCTCAAAGTTTAAAATCAGCAGGATTTCTTCATCAAACAAATAGGATTCAGGTGGTTGACTAAGGGAAAGAATTGCTTCAAAGTTCAGCCCAAACCCTACTTTCTACTTGCCAACTTTCTTGATGTCCCTGATCTTGTTGCTAGTACCTTGTATTTACTTTACAGTTTGTTTTTATGTATATACCTAATGTTTTCCCCAGTACGTGTGTGCATATTGTTTTCCCCAGTGGAAGGTAAGCTTGGAATTAGGGTGTGATTTTAGTACATATATCTTTACTAAATGTGGCACAGAGGAAATTCATGTTGATTAGTTTAGAATTTGCTGAATGTTTCACTGAACCTAGAGTTTTATATAGAGAGTTCTGTTCACATGAAATTGAACATAGAATTTATGAATTTAGATTTGGATGGGACCTTGATAGGTCATCTAGTTCGAGTGTCAAAACTCATGAAGCCCCAACCATATTAAAATGTAATTGGGAAATGTTTAACAAAAAAAAAATTTAAAGAACAATACAGCATTCTCAGTCAGCATATGGCCAATAGGGATCTATTTCTTTTGAGTTTGGCACCACTGATCTAGTCCAATCCCTTCATTTTACCAGAATGTCCCAGAGAAGTGAACTAACTTACTCAGGGTTATACAAGTAGTTAGTGGCAGACTTAGGATGTGAACTCAAGTGCTCTGGCTCCAAATAAAATGCTGTTAATATATTCGCAGTGTAGTTTCATAAATTTTTTTCTGGGATGCAAGTATATTGATTTTCATTTGAAAAAGCCTAGATTTTATTTTAATGTAATCCTCTCTTTGTTATTATTCAGTCATTTTTTTAGTCTTGTCCAACTCTTTGTGACCTCTTTTGGGATTTTGGCAAAGATACTGGAGTGTTTGCTGTTTCCTTCTCCAGCTCCTTTCACAGATGAAACTGAGGCAAACAAGCTGTGTGCCCAGGGTCACACAGCTAGTAAGTGTTGGAGGACAGATTTGAACTCAAGAAGATGAGTCTTCCTGACTCCAGGCTCTTCACTCTATCCACTATGCCACCTCATTGTTAAAAAGAAAATTAAAAAGTAAAGAGGGAGTAATTCTCCACTCTTCCTTATTCTTTATTTTCTTTTCCAATTATGACTTGTTTTTATGAAAATCTTTTTGTGTGTATATATCCGTCTCCGTTTCAACCCAGTAAATCTTGTAATTCTAAAATCTTAAGATATCCAAGTCTATAAGTATGAACAATTTTATTTAACTTAGGAAATTTTTAGCATATCATACTGTATGAAAGAACTGATGTTAAAGCATTTAGTTACTTGCATAGTAATAGCTTTGTTGAGGTCAAGCATGATGTGATGAAAAGGGGGACTTTAAAAAACAGGGTTTAAAATTAGTTTCTAGGTTCAACATCTGGCTTTGCCACTTCACCTGTACTTACTAACCTTTACCTGTATGACCTTAGACAAGTAACTTAACCTCTCTTGACCTATTTGCTTCTCTGTAAAATGAAGGAACCAATAAGGTTTCTTCCAACTCTTCTGTCTCTGATGCTATAAACCTCTCTGGAACAAACTCCAAAGGAATATTTAAAGAATATGTAATCATTTTACAGGTCAGGAAATGAAAGCTCAGAGGGCATTAAGTGACTTGCCCAAGATGACGCAGCTAGTCATTAGCAGAGGTGGGACTTAGAATATAGGTTTTCTCGATCCAGTGCTCTTTACAGTCATAAGTCATGTTGCCTTAGCCTGGTAGTTTTTCATATGCTTCTGCTTTAAAATACTTATGATTAATATTACATAATATTTCTTATAATACAATTTGACCTGTTGGGGAAATTCAATTTTAATGAGTTCTACTTTCAAAGTCAACAGTGAGCATTTATTAATTGTCTGCTATATGCCTGACATTGTGTTTAAGTGTTTTTTGGCTACACTATCCAGATTTAGTTTTCTGTAGATAACAGGATTCCAAATACATACAAATAAAGATTCTCAGGTGCCTTAGTTTTTTAATACAGCTCATTGTGATATTGTTAATTGAATGGTTAATAATTTAATAATGAGCTAGAGAGCCAGCCTCAAAGCCAGGAAGACCTGGGTTCTAGTCCCTTTTCTGACAAACATTTATTTGTATAAAATCACTTAACCTTATGTTGCTTCAGGGAACTAGCTCCCAGCTCCATTCCATTCTCCATTTAACTGTCAAATTTAGCTTCCAAAAGCAAAGGTCCCTCTGAATTTCATAAGCTCTTAATGGCTCCCTTTTACCTTCAGGATCAAATAGAAGGGAAGGGGAAAGAAGTAAGCATTTATTTAATACCTAATACTTGCTAAATACAGTGCTAAGCACTTTTATCTGATCTCCACAACAACCCCAGGAGGTAGGTGCTATTATTCCCATTTTACTGTTGAAACTGAAAAGAGAGCTCAAGTTACTAATTGCCTCGGATCACACAGCTATAGTAAATATGTGAGGCCAGTTTTGAACTCAGTTCTTCTTAACCCTGGCTGGATGCTGAATCCACTGTGGCTCTCCCCTTCTCTTTTATCTCCCGTGCACGTAGTAGGCACTCGATACTCACTGTTGACTGAGACTGAGTGCTAAATCTTAAAGCCTTGTATGAGTTATTAGAAGCCACCAAGACGTAGTTTATAGATAGACCTCAGAGCCCTTAAGAATTGGTTTCAAATGCCACAGTAACATAGTGGTCGTGTGATTCTTGGCAAGTTACTTAACTTCTCAGCACTCTGTTAAACAAAGAAAGTTTATAAGCTGCAGAGAAAGTGCTTACCTGCCTTGGTCAAAGGAATTTACTCAAACTGGCCCTGTTCTGTCACTGTTGCCTCCCTCCCCATAATAATGCCTTATTAAAGAGCTCAGTTTCTTTAAGTATTTAAAAAGACCTGTTTTGCTGAATTTTATGCATTTAGATTTTAAACATTTAAGCATGAAATTAGTTGTTTTTATGAGGATTTTGCTAAGTGAATCTTATTGTGAGTTTGGGCTCTCTTTGCCCCTCAGTTTGTATAGCTGGTAAATGAGAGGCTTGTACTAAATTGTTTTTGTAGTCCTCTTTAAATATTAGCTGTCCTTTTTTTTGGCTAGGCAATGGAGTTAAGTGACTTGCCTAGGGTCACACAGCTAGTAAGTATCAAATGTCTGAGGCCCAATTTGAACTTAGGTCCCTCCTGACTCCAGGGCTGGTGCTCTATCCACTGGCTACCTAGCTGCCCCTAAATACTAGCTTTCTAAAAATAATTGATAAGTATCATTAGTAATACAATTTTAACCTTCCACTTTAAAGTTTGTATCCATCAGCTGAGCTGTGCCTTCACTCAGAATGTCTTTTTGTAGCTATAGTTTCTATCTGAATTACCCTAGTTGGGGGGAGGGGATAATTTCTTTTTGTTTGAAAGCTGTCAAGTTTGGCCCTAGTTGAAATTGAAGGTGAATTTGATTTTAGATCACTGCCATTCTGGTTTCACCGTGGCAGCGGTACTGGGCTTTAGAGCTGGAAGAAATCTTGGAGATCTAGCACAGTCCTCTTATTTTAACAGTG